ACCTTGGCCTCCCAAAGTGCTGGGGTTTCATATGTGAGTCACTGAACCCTACCTGACTCCTTCTGGATGACTGAATTTTAATAAATTCCTTGATCATGAGTGGATACTATTGTGGGATAATTCATCTAACCTTTGTAGAAACTTGACCTTCCTTATAGTACCAACAAGCTCAGTTTTCATTGACCAGGAGACTTTCTTTTGGACAGAATTGTCTTTTTGTATCTCATATTCTAGCGGGGGCAAGAAAGATAACAAATGATGAGCATGAAGAAATGCTTTTTGGGCCAGGTGCAGTGGCTCACACCTGTAATCCCAGTACCTGTAGAGGCTGAGGCGGGCAGATTACTTGAGGACAGGAGTTTGAGGCCAGCATAGGCAACAGTGGAACCCTGTCTCTAGTAAAAATAAAAAATTAGCTGGATGTGGTGGCACATGCCTATAGTTTCAGCTACTCGGGAAGCTGTGGCATGGGAATTGCTTGAACCCGGGAGGAAGAGGTTGCAGTGAGCTTAGATTTTGCCATTGCACTCTGGCCTGGGTGACAGAGCAACACTGTCTCAATTAAAACAAACAAACAAACAAACAGAAAACACTTTTCATATAATTTGTTTTTAAAATTATAAAACTCGATAATAGTATTTAGTGAAAATTGGAGGAGAGAATGAAGAAACTGTTTTTACTGGAATGGCCAGTAAAACCATTCTAAGGTGGGGACATTTGAGCTGAAACTCACAGGAGGGGAAACAGGCAACCATAGAAGGTCTGGGGAAAGAGCATTCTGTGCAGAAGGAACAGCAGGTGAAAGAGACCAGCGACACAAAAAGCTCAGTGTGTTGGAAGGATAGAAAGAAGGGAGTTGGGAGAATGATAAGGAGAGAAGTATGTGATCATGTCTGACAGGCTGGCAAGGAGTGCTCTGTGTACAGTGTTGCTGGTCATGTTGGGAAGTTTCTGTTTTGCTGGAAACCCAGTAGAACTACTGGAAGCTTTTAAGCAAATGATCAATTTGATCTGTTTTGTGCCTTAAAAAGATCACTCTGGCTGACAACAGCATGGAGAACAAATTCTGGCAGGGGAAGAGGGGAGGCAGCCCATTCTAGCCCAGCTGTGAGATATTAGTCATTTGGATTAGGGTTGTAGCAATAGAGATGGTGATAAGTGGTGGGATCGTGCATGTATTTTGGAAATAAGAGTAGGCAAGATTTGCAGATAGATTGGATGAGAGATGTAAAGAAAAGTGAGAAAACAAAGGTTATTGCTAGTGGTTTGGCTCAAGAAACTTGGTTGGTGGCGATACCAGTAACTGAGAGATAAGGAAGATGGCTGTGGGTAAATCAAGAATTTTATTTTGGAAATACTAAATTAGAAATGTCTATTAGATAGCTCAGAGGTGATGTCAAGTAGGTAGTTGGATATATAAATCTAGAGCCCAGGGGAGTGGTAAGAGCTGGAGATAGAGATTTATGAGTCATCAGTACAAAAATGTTATTTCAAGCCTAGAAGAGGATGAGATCACCTAGAGAAGGAATTTGGAGAGAAAAGAGGGTGGAGGACAGAGTTAAGTGTTAGCAGAGGAGGAAAAAGAAATGGAGTCCAAGAAGGCACGAGTTTCAGTTTAGAAGAAAATCAGGTGTGAGTAGTGTTGTGAACACCTAATGGAGACATTTTTGCAAAAAGAAAATCATATGCTAAAAACTGACTAATGCTCTGTCCCATTTCTGCTTTATATTTCTCCCACACACCCACAACACCATGCCCCTCTCTTTAGCATTTGATTCTACTGGAAAGGAGGTTAATTACAGAACAATAGTTGTTTCCATTATTTTTCACGTTCGGTCTGCTATTTTAGGAAGTAGATAAAGTGACACTGTGACAGATCTGGAGGGTCTTGGATCTACCTTTCAACATTGGCATTACAGATATTAGAGCACTACCACTCACTAGCTATGGGAATGTAGAAAGATTACCTAACCACTCAGAGCCTTGATTTCCTCATTTGTTATGTGGAGATGACAATATCAGAGGACAGGCTTATTGTGGGGGTTCATTAATATAATGCTCACAAGTTGGTAGCTCAGTGTCTGGCAGAAGGTAAGTAGATCACAAATAGTAGCTTTTATTATCTTTTTCCCAGATGATTATTGGCTAACTATGGAAATGGATCACTATCAAGTAATCCTGGAAAGATGAGTAGACAAGATTAGCAGATAGATTGGATGAGAAATGTGAAGAAAAGTGAGAAAATAAGGGTTATTGCTAGTGTTTTGGCCCTAAACATAGTTAAGTGTTTGGAACTATTAACTATTGGAGAGATAATACCTATGTGTTGTTGCTACAGGATAGAAGCTAAACACTGAGTCTATAAACGAACGCCCTGATATTGCCCCTGTATCCTCTAACAAATACCCTATATCTTGTCTCTTTCAGAGACAGGATGTGTGAAACTCAGATAAGTGATGTTTTAAAGATGGGGTATCAGTGATAGAAATATACTTCTGTGTACTATTAACTCTTTAATAAATATTTGTATTAGGGTTCTCTAGAGGGACAAAACTAATGTAATAGATATATGTATATATATAAAGGGGAGTTTATTAAGTATTAACTCACATGATCACAAGGCCCTACTATAGGCCGTCTGCAGGCTGAGGAGCAAGGAGAGCCAGCCCAAGCTGCAAAACTGAAGAACTTGGAGTCTGATGTTTGAAGGCAGGAAGCATCCTGTACCGGAGAAAGATGTAGGCTAGGAGGCTAGACCAGTCTCTCTTTTCACATTTTTCTGCCTGCTTTTACTTCTAGATGCAATGGCAGCTGATTAGATGGTGCCCACCATCCATTAAGGTGGGTCTGCCTTTCCCAGCCCACTGACTCAAATGTTAATCTCCTTTGGCAACAACCTCACAGACACCCCTAGGATCAATATTTTGTATGTTTCAATCCAATCAAGTTGACACTTAGTATTAACTGTTACAATGTTGTTGGATTGTTTGAGCCCAGGAGTTCAAGGTTGCAGCAGGCCATGCTCATCCCACTGCATTTTAGCCTGGGAAACAAGAGCAAGGCCCTGCATCTGAAACAAACAAACAAATACGTAAATAAAGAAGCTCACTTTTAAGAGGCGTTTTCATATTGTTGTTTTCGCCAGTGTTGTTTTATATATCATTGGTAGTTTTAAAACTTTGTTTCATCTTCTCTGATGTTTAAAAAAAAGAAATACCATGTTAGGAGGATCTAACAATCTAGCTGTATGATATATTAGAGGATAATGACACCTCCTCTAGTTTTATATTTATGAGAACATCTAACACATCAAACAAAGTGTCAGTGCAGAGCTGGAGTCATTTAACTGAGTATGTTTATCTTTGGGGTGTTTTCAGCTCTGTGTAATAGGAAACAGTGACAGAAACTGGCTTAAATAATAAGAAATTGTATCTCAGAATGCGCAAAGTCCAGAGTTAGGATTCCTCGGTCATATTCCAAAGTGCCCATAGTTTCCACATCTACACCATCCCTTCCTCAGAGGCTTGTCCTTACCTTTAGTCTTCTTTGTCCTGTCGCAAAATAAATATTAGAACCCTTGGCATCATCTCAGACATGATTCTATCTAGAGAAGGAAGAAGGGTGGTTTTTCCTCAAGTCTCTTTCTTATTGGAGCCTACTGATGACCAGAAGAAATTGCTGGCATTTGTCAACTTTCTGAACAATTCTTAAAATTTTCATTCATAGGACAGCTTCCTTAGGATGTAAATGGTCTCCAGGCTTCAGCACACAATAGTTTAACAAAATGTCAGCTCAGCATACAGAGGTCCTCTCTCCCCCTTGTCTCTACTTTTTCCATGGAGGTAATTAGACATTTCAAAATGTGTTACTTGCAGAACTTCATTCCTGCTTCCATTTTTTAAAAAAATCAATTTTTGTTATCTGTCACAAGCAACAGAAAAACAATTCTGGCCGATTTAAACAAGAGATACCTTTATTTAAAATGTACTAAACTAGTTCCAGAATGATCTTGAATTTTCTTTTGCTAGAGGAGACACTATCGGGACAATTGGCAAATTCTGAATAAGGTCTGCAGATCAGATCATAGTGTTGTATGTAATCTGATTTTGAAAACTGGGCTGTGATTATGTAAGATAATTACATTTTAGTAAAAACACAGTGCCATTTTAGGGAAAAAGCATGTCTACAATTTACTATTAAACAATTTAGAAAAACTATACAGAGAAAAAGAGGGGGAGAAAGGAGAGGGAAAGGGAGGGGGAGAGGGAAGAAAGAGGGGGACGAGGTGGAGGTCAATGTAGAAAAATATTAACATTAGAAATCTGGCTAAGGCCGGGCGCAGTGGCTCACGCCTATAATCCCAGCACTTTGGGAGGCCGAGGTGGGTGGGTCACGAGGTCAAGAGATCGAGACCATCCTGGTCAACGAGGTGAAACCCCGTTTCTACTAAAAATACAAAAATTAGCTGGGCATGGTGGTGCGCGCCTGTAGTCCCAGCTACTCGGGAGGCTGAGGCAGGAGAATTGCTTGAACCCAGAAGGCGGAGGTTGCGGTGAGCCGAGATCGTGCCATTGCACTCTGGTCTGGGTAACAACAGCGAAACTCCGTCTCAAAAAAAAAAAAAAAGAAAGAAAGAAAGAAATCTGGCTAAAGAGATATCCAGGAATTCTTTGAATTAGTCTTGCAACCTTAGTGTAAGTTTAAATTATGTCCAAATTAAAAAAAAAAGTTCAGTGATACAAGAAGATAAAAGGTAAGATTGCAGTGAGGCATCAGTTCCAAAACCTTGCTTTAATACACCTCTAAAGACAATGAGGAGGATACTTAGTGACCAGCTCAAGAGCAGACTAGATTGCAAAAGATCCTGGCTGAAAGATTTGAGAACAGGAAACCGTGGTCCAAATCACACCACAGAGCCGAAGCCTGTGGGCAATACTGCCACCACTATGACGTGCCACATGCCTGCTGCTGTAGCTGGCGCTCCGCACATTATACCACCACCAGCACAGCTGCTGTGACTGCTCTCTGGATGATTCATCTTTTCATAGCCACCACCCATGCTGGAGACTTATCTCTAGGACCTCTGCTTTTTAGTTTCATGTTAAATTCAAGGTCCCGGTGCAGAAATCAGATTGATAGAGCCCAAATTTTGGGCTATCTCTAGGTGCAAGGTAAGTCTTGTAAAATGAGTGTCAGACATTTTCAGTCTCCACAGGGACACACAAATTGTGCTTTGCCCACAAAGGGAGGGATTCTCGAAGGAAGAATGGGTTTCAGATATTATGTAAGAATGACACATGAATGACAAGAATGACAAATGTTTGTTACAGAATAGTGTTTGCAGTTTTCTCCCTTAGGATGTCATAAACACTCTGGACCTTGCTCTGTTGAAGGTAGAAGTGAAGGAAAATGGATTTCCCTCAATTTGAGAGGAATAAAGTATTTGCAGATGTTGGGTCCTACTCTCACATATAATCACAGTGGGATTAATATGGAAGAAATTATTCCTGATGAGGTTTATCCACTTCTGACATTACATAGAAAATGGGAACCCTTTGTTTTCAATTAGATTAATTTTATTCAGAATATTCCTTATTCTGGACATTGATAACTTGTTTTGTTCTATCCCACACTTTTAAAGATTTTTTTCCTCTTGTATTTCTTTTTGTAAAAACTATTATTTTATATGAGGTTGACATTTTTTGGTTCAGGTTTTCAACTCTTTCAGGAAAAAAACCCAGCCCTCAGCTCTGGTGCAGTACTTAGTGCATAGCAGAGACTCACAAACTTTTGTTTTTTATTCAAATCTTATTTTGCTATACAATGTAAATATAATTATATACCATTGAGGTCTTACTCTGGCCCAGAAGTGTAAATGCTGTTTGTGGTTAGGCATTAGGAATGCTTTTTTTTTTTTTTTTTTTGCCCTTAGTATCTTATTGAAAAAGGAAGACTCACTTCAGCTAAGGAAAAGGCATCTGTGTCATAATTTCTAAGAACATAGTATTTTATTTTTATTAATGTTTGCCATAAAAAATGATTAGAATAAAAAAAGCGAGACATGAACAATTGTTCTCTAAAAGCATTTGACATCTGGTTGGAATTGCTATATTACTTGATTGTCAAAAGTTTCTTCTGAGGGGTTGAGGGAATTTTAACATTTCATTTGACAGTGAAATTTGAGATGAATTTAATCGGCCTTCACTAGTGCTGGCCTGCTCCTGAGAGAAAGGTGATTGAGAGGGAGGAAGTGGAGAGGAGGAAAAAGCCTTTACTTATACTCCTTGAGGAGTGATTCAGGTGGACAGTCTGAATTATGGGATTTATTGACAGCAAGTAAGTACCGTCTGAGTAGATTACTGCAAAATGCTTTAGCTGGGGACGGCTTTGAAAACCACTCATCAATTACAGATGGTACCTAGTATAGCAGCACGAGTACCCTTGTGGGTTTTCATCTAGAAGAAACCTGCTATCTCTGATCTCTTCCTTCATGAGTGACCCTTGTTACTCAAAGACCTCAACTGTTTATCAAAAACCTGCCACTCAGAACTGTGTATCAATTATTAAACCAAGTCCCATGCAGGACAGGGACTTTAGATTATCTTGGAAATAATACAGACCAACATTTGTCTTTGTTAACATGCTGAGTGATTCTGTGGTCTCTAGTCACAGGTGAAAGGATCAGATTTGAGATTTCTAGATACCAGAATCACATTAGGGTTAAGCAAAATTTCTTTCCTTTTTTTTTTTTTTTTTTTGAGACTGAGTTTCGCTCTTGTTGCCCAGGCTGGAGTGCAATGGTGCGATCTCAGCTCACCGAAACCTCCGCCTCCTGAGTTCAGGCAATTCTCCTGCCTCAGCCTCCTGAGTAGCTAGGATTACAGGCATGCGCCACCATGCCCAGCTATTTTTTTGTATTTTTAGTAGAGACGGGTTTTCACCATGCTGACCAGTATGGTCTTGACCTCTTGACCTCTTGATCTACCCGCCTCAGCCTCCCAAAGTGCTGGGATTACAGGCTTGAGCCACCACGCCCGACCCGCAAAATTTCGTATGTTCCCAGCGAAACTTTGGCCAGAAACGTTGTTTATTTGAGATGAGAAGTAAGATGAAATGTTCTAACATGGTGGAATCCATAGGAAAATTTGCCCATCTAGGGACAGTAGGGATTGGTAATGTGGGTCCATGGATGCCTAGAAGGCTCACAGAAAGACTTCAGGACATTCCTGAGTCTTTTCAAAGTGTAAGCAAAATTTTGTGTGTATTTCCTTATGTGGGTGATATGGTTTGGCTGTGTCTCCACCCAAATCTCATCTTGAATTTTAACTCCCATAATTCCCACATGTTGTGGAAGAAACCCTGTGGAAGGTGACTGATTATGGGTATGGGTCTTTCCAGTGCTGTTCTCGTGATGGCAACTGAGTCTCACAATATGTGCTGGTTTCAGAAACAGGAGTTTCTCTGCACAAGCTCTCTTTTTGCCTGCAAGCTCCACGTAAGATGTGACTTGCTCCTCCTCACCTTCTGCCATGATTGTGAGGCTTCCCCAGCCACATGGAACTGAGTCCAGTCAAATTTCTTTCTTTTGTAAATTGCCCAGTCTCAGGTATGTCTTTATTAGCAGTGTGAAAATGGGCTAATACAGTGCATTTATTTTTCTTGAAGCATGTCCATACTTTCCATTAGATTCTCAAAGGGATTCAGGACCTGGAAACTTTTTGAAATACTGCTCCATAGTAAATGGCACAAATCCCTCTGAATTAAGAATGTCTCTCGCCTTAGGCAAAGCTAGATTAAAGGACAGAATTGAGAATCAGCCTCTGGAGTGCCCTCTATAAGGAAAATGAAAACATTACTAAAGTAAGTTGATAAAGTATAAATTCATCTAACTTCTACTGGACATTGCCCTTGAGTGAAATTAAAAACTGAAAAATTTTTGTCATATCTTTTGAGCATTTCTGTAAAATACTCATGTAGCTATGGCCAAAATTCTGGAATGAAATGGCACATATAGCCTTAGGTATCCTCCAGACCTGATTAATTGGCTCTGTTTCTTAAAGGAGTCATATTTACAGAATTACAGTTGACCAGGTACAGTGGCTCATGCCTGTAATCCTAGCAATTTGGGAGGTCAAGGCAGGAGGTTGACTTGAGGTCAGGAGTTTAAGACCAGCCTGGCCAACACAGTGAAACCCTGTCTCTACTAAAAGTACAAAAAAATGAAAATAAAGAATAACTGGGGGTGGTGGCAGGTGCCTGTAATCCCAGCTACTCGGGAGGCCGAGGCAGGAGAATCACTTGAATCTGGGAGGCAGAGGTTGCAGTGAGCTGAGATTGCGTTCACTGAACTCCAACCTGAGTGACAGAGTGAGACTCCATCTCAAAAAAAGAAAAAAAAAAAGGATGGTGGCAGGATAATATTGTCTCTTTCACAGGGTCACAGGGAAAATTTAGATTTGTATCTGATGTAGGTATCACAGTGCAAAAACTATTAACTCTTAGATTGTCCCTTTCAATCATCAATAAAATGAATGTTCTTCAACATTTCAAAATTTGATCTTCCCACAGCATTGGCCTTGAGGGTAGATGGTGGTAGATTAGTGGATCACACACATTTCTGTATGTTGTAGGATGACTACTTTCAAGGTTTTTTTATTCTACCATATTTCTTTACTCGGAAAAGTCATAATACCCAGTACTTACATATTATTAGTACCTGAAGATAGTTGATAATTAAACTATTATCAAGCACAGACATCTTAGCTTAAATAAAAGTATCAAAGCTGAGAGGACGCACCCAAAAAATGAGTTCTAAACCTGGTAAGGTAAAAGCACAACATGGAAAATGAAAGAACAAAAATTAAATTGGCCTGTAATATAATATATGGTTTAAACTTTGGTCACAATATAAATACTATGTTTATTGCTTATAAAAACACTTTCACGTGATAGAGGTACAGATAGAGTATCTTTTATTGTTGAGATTAAATCCAAGATAAGGAAACCAAAGTACAGATTAGGACAAATATGACAACTTTTGTTTTATTGACTCTCCCATGCCATCCTCCACACCCCGCTCTGTAATGCTGTTATTGAGGAGGAAAGAAAAGTCTAAAATCCACGTGGGGGAGTTGCATAACTTTTAGGAGAACACTTGCTAGCTATATTCATCAAGAAGTTATAGTCACTGGTTGTATCATTCACTGGCAGCGCCTGCTATCTGGGGTGTGGAGTTTGCTTGAGATATATGTATTATTCATAGTTACAGGCTAGCCTGTTATAACAAGACTTTAGAGTTGCTACCTCATGTTTATAGACACATAGCAACAACAAGGGACAGAGAAATGGACTTGGAATTTATTCAGTGAATATTTTTATAGCCTATACTCTGTGTAGAGTCACCATGGAGTGACTCAAAGAGCTTACAGACAAGTTGGGGGAGGTGAGAACCGCACATATAAAAGGTTAAATAAAAACAAAATGAAGAGGAGAAGAAATAAGATAAATGAAAATATCTTTTGGTACCAGGATTGACTATCAAATAAGTGGAAATGAGTGTCTGATAGAACATCTCATAACCTCAATTCCCACTTGAAAATATGCACCCTGAATTCTTGAGCTTGCAAATCCCTCCTGACTCAGCGAAGCCCTTGCGAATAAGCATCTGCAAGGAAAAGAGAAGATGAAGAGAGAACCAGGTGGAGGCACCAGAGCAGAAGCTCCATGTGTTCAAGGACAGAGCCTGAATTATTTGCTGAATGTCTAGGGCTTAGTATAATTCATTATTAGGTGTTCAATAAATATTTTACTTAGTTAATGCATGAATAAATGCATAGATGAAGGCCAGAGACTATCCTAGGACTGGAAAAACATGTTATAATATGCTCTAAGGTGGTTGCAGTATCTTTTTTGTATGTTTGGCATGTAGTACGTAATAGGTGTTCAGTAAATGTGGAAGGAAGAAGGAAGGAAGGAAGGAAGGAAGGAAGGAAGGAAGGAAGGAAGGAAGGAAGGAAGGAAGGAAGGAAGGAAGGAAGGAGAGAAGGAATTAGTTAATATCATAGGATCACAGGACTGGAAGGAAACTTGTGAGCTTATCAGTCATTCCCTTAATCCACAAGGAAAAGGTGTTAGTGAGTGTGATAGAAGCAAAGAGCTAGAATTCGAGAAA